TTTTGCAACATCAACAATATGAGATTCAATCCAATATAACAATTCCGAAGATAATGGTATTTTCATCAAACATCAAAACACAGAATTTGCTACTAATACTTTTTAAGAGAAATAGCTGAACCTAATGTTTTAAATAGACCTCATTATACCGCTATACTATTGTATCTCTGAATGCAACTTTCTCAATGTTTGAGGACATGGCAAAAAATTTGACTTCAAAAATAGAACGCCTTTGGAGATTATTTGTATGACTTAATTTTTAAATTATTGCATTGTTAATGAATCCTTCTTGTCATTACATCTTGCATCCTTAGTTGTCAAAAGTGCTCTTAGGCTTTGTTCGTAAGTACATTTTGCAGCAATTTGCAGGTACCCCCAATACACCTATTCAATAAATAACAGTTGAAATATCATATTTGATTATATATAATTAGTGTTGCAATTATTATAAAAAATAACTTACCGGGAACTGGTATTGGAATAGCTGAATATTTTAACTTGCACTTGGCACTTTTTGGGTACTATAAAAACACTTTGCCATATTAAATTTCACTTAAATGTTCACTTAAACACAATTAATTCATTAGAAACAATTTTAGGTTATTCTCGTACGATTCGTACAGGGATCAAATGCTTGACAGCTCTTGACAGCCTCGCGTGGTCAACTTGCACGAAGCTGAACGATTTTGTACTTGAAATTGGCACACATGAGCCATCTGTTTTTTAAAAATTGACACTACTCAAAACCAAAACAGTGCAACGCGCATTTGTTCGAAGATAACTCCCCATGGATCCCTAAGTATTCCTTCTGAACGAGGATTTTGTTCTAACATAAGTGAATAGGCCCTGAATACTGCTTACAAGTTTGATGTTTATTTCATTCAGCCAACAATCGCAATTAGAAATTATATTTTGAAGAATGCATTTTTGTTAATGATTAAATTAATATTGTTAATTAATAAAGTTATTTTGTAGAAGTCAAAACTTTGGTGCATGTCTTTTCAATTCAAACATCCGCCATTATGTACCACATGCCGCCATTTGTAAGCAAATTAAACTTCATAAACAGACACAGAAGTGTCAATCAAAAAGTGTCAGATATGAACAGTGATCGTTTTGTGATTATTATTATTAATTTAAGTTCGCGCGAACATTAAATTTTTAATTGACTATAATTTTGCTTTGTTTGAGCAGTTAAAATGGCGCCTATTCTAAAAGAAGTAAAGTCTCGTAAACCTTACATACTTTTGTCAGCCCGTAGGAAGCGTGAAATAGCACAAGAAGCTAAAAAGGAATTTTTACAATACCTTAATGCCAAGCATCCACTGTTTACTGAGAAGGATTTGGATGTTACCATTTGTGGCTCCAGTACAAGTGTTGAAGACGTCGAGAAGAATTTATATCACACAACACGTGTAAACCATAAACGTCAAAGATCTTTTAATAGCATTAATGAAGAACAAAGCTTTGTGCTTTGTGATAATGAAGAAAATGTAGAAGAACCTTCTTACACACGTGTAAACGTCAAACGTCAAAGACCTTTTAATAGCATTAATGAAGAACAAAGCTTTGTGCTTTGTGATAATGAAGAAAATGTGGGAGAACCTTCTTCCCTCTCACCTTTGCAATGCGAACTACAGAATCTGTTTAATACCCAAACTATGACGCCAGAGTGTTCAACTAAATTGTTAGAAATTCTGAGGCGTCATGGTCATAAGAATGAACTACCAGTAGATTCTAGCACATTATTGCAAACTCCGAAACGTGCTATCAATGACATAGCAATTAATACTTCAAATAGTGAAGGTAATAAACTAGTAAATTTAAAAAAAAACGTCAATTCTTACATAAATTTTAATTTGTAGTTGATATTGATTTGAAGCAGGAAGATGAAGTCTGGATTCAGGAGGAAGAAGAAGATGAGATTGCAGAGGAGGAAGTGATCTGGTTTACAGAGGAAGAAGACGTTTTGGTTTCACAAGAGGCAGAAGTTTGTGGTTTAAGGGAGGAGCTAGCTAATGATCCAGTAATACCAGCCAATGATCGTGTAATCCCAGCTAATGATTCTGTAATCGCAGCTGATGATCCTGTAATCCCAGCTAATGATCCTGTAATCCCAACTAATGATCCTGTAATCCCAGCTAATCGTAATGATTCTGTAATCCAAGCTAATAATGATCCAGTAACTGGGAGCACTGATCGGATTCAGAAGGATATATTAATTCGTTTAGCCAGACTTGAGGGTTAGTAAAATAAGACATATACAATATAATTATTTTCTAACATGCTACTATTGTAGAAGCTATTTTGGTGCTTAGTGGAAATGTAGCATCTGTTCTTAAATACATAAAGGATGATCGCAGAGACATTGAAGAGCAAACCTATGATTACAGCAAATATAGTAATAGTGATTTAGTGATTAAAACTAATCCATTTGATTTAATATTGCCTATCAAATCTGAGAATGAATTGATGACACTGGAGCATCGGATCAAGAATAATGAAGAGCTGGCTTCTGAATTTGTAAGTTTCTTCTACAGCAAATATAGTAGCTGTGTTTATACATGTATGGAAATGAGTAATAAATATAAATCATGTATATAAATAAATAAATATAAGTATATATATATATATATATATATATATATATATTTATATATATATGTAAATATATATATATATATATATATATATATATTTTGTATGATTCTGAATTTGATGTTGACATATGTAATAACAAAGTCTAATAATCGGGCATAACATCAATAAAAAACATGAATTTCATTCAAAAATTTATTTTAAATCCATACGTTTCGGCTATAATCCTAGCCTTCATTCAGTGGAAATTAAAAATAAAATTAAAAACTAAAACAATTGAATTGGAGTGAAAAGAAAAAATAAAATAGTAAATAGTACTTACAATTAGTTGATCTTAGTGTTAAATTGGAAAATTTTAATAATCCATGATATTAGGATATGGTAATGCACTACACTATGTATTATAAACATTAACTTGAAATTACACAATATTTTCACAAAATACTGATTTGAAAAAATCACAAATGGATAGTGTGTTATTCGTAGACTGGTTGAAGATGTAATGGAGAAAGACATTTTTTAAAAAATATTTTTACCAAGATTCTACACATGTGTGGAACGAATTGTGAATCCTTTGCGCGAACGCTTTTATTGTTTTGTAAGAAATTTGGAAATGTTATCTAAATAGAAGAGATTTGTGTCGCACAGCGTGTTAAGTTCATTCCGTTTATTTATTGTCTTATTGTTATAAATAGTTAAAAAAGATCCCTTTATAATTCTTCGTTTAAATAAATTTTGTTCGAATTGTAGTACAGTCGGATTAGAAAAGTCCATATTGTGTTTTAAAGTGTATATATGGTCTGCAAGTACAGTTTTGAATTGTTTGGGGTTTTTTGAATTGTTTTTATGTTGTTGTAACCGTTTATTCAGGTTCTGGCTAGTTTCTCCTATGTAAAAATTGCTTAGACTGTAATTTAATTTACATAGGAGAAACTAACTTTTATTGATGTTATGCCCGATTATTAGACTTTGTTAATATATATATATATATATATATATATATATATATATATATATATATATATAATCTGTTTGTCTATTTTAGAAAACTTTCATTATCAAAATTGGGGGCAGGACTGAGAGGGAGCATATCAGTAATGTATGCAAACGTTTAATGCCCAATGAATTTGCAATGCATTGTTCTTGGTTTGGCCTCAAGAACAATGTCCCACTTCATGACCTGCTGATCATGAAATTATTCAGAGGTAAATATACATAAATATATACATCTTTAACTTAATTTTTAACTCCTAAAATTTCAAACAGAGGTTATAACCACCATACACAAAGTCCCTAGCGTTGCATTCAAACACATAGTATCTAAGTGGCTTCGATATGCCCGTCAACGCCATGAACGAAGAGCAACAGGAAAACAAGAACCCAAGATTATTTGATTTTACATTGACATATATATTCGATAAATGACAAGGAGGATTTATTATTTTTAAGTTTGTTTTTAAACCATTATGCTGTATTTTTGAAGTTTGTTTTTCCATTTGATCTTCAGAGTGTCTTGCAATTACTTTATTATAAAAAGCTATTTATTCCAGGATTCTGTAACTATGATCATGTAACAGTTATAACAAATTATATTTATACATAAGCATAGTTTTAGCATTAATTTATATATAAGTAAATAGATTTATCTGTGTTAATGTACAAATTGTTTATATAGTTGTTTTTTTAAATCTGTGTTATATGTCAAGACTATTATAAGAATATTGATTTAGAATAAAATAATTTGTAAGCAATATGTAATTTTAAAATAACTTCAGTTTCAGTGATTTTTTCTTTAATAATATATTCGATATATATTTAATATTTGTAGTCTTATATATTGCGTTTTTACTAATGATAATTAACAAATTATGATTTTGAAGTTTATATGTTACAATTCTACATGGTTTCTTTTACTCTTATAATTATATATTTCGAAATTATTCAAATATATAAGACAACAATTCCTTAAGTTGCAAATGTGACATCGAAACAATATTCTTAGGAAGTCCTGTGTTCATTTAAATCTTTTGAAATATATATTTGCACTTTTATTGTACCTAATTTGAAGGGGTCGATTTGCATGGGTCAAAAAAAGTCGCGTAGGCACACATGATTTTCGGATACTAGGGATCAAAATAAGATACTTTGCTGAAGAAACTATGCCTTTCCTAAATAAAAGGTGCGATATGTATTAAAAGTAATCTGTGACTGCCCAGCAAGTGCATCACTTATAACATAAGCAACTGGGCATGCAGGTTATGACACCTTCATAATAAACTGAGTTCAAAAAGGAGCTTCTAAAACACGTGTTGTTTTAAACAGCATTTGGATCTTTAGACAATAAAATAACTGACAATAGATGATTTGGATTGCATCCAGTGCATCCATATTAGAACATCTAGGTATTGGCATGGTTTCTCAGACGGCATTAGACTATATTCATCTGGTGTGCCACCATAAGACTATACTCTTTATTAATATATTAAGTCTGTGGATTAAAGATTCGAGAGATGTAAAAGCAGAGGACGAAGCCAATGAAAATGTAAGCGGATTTTTGTTAAATATTAAGTAATATGTTACTCAAACGTTTTTAAAATTACCAAGTTTACTTGAAGATTTTAACTATTGGAAAGCAACCCGAGTTCAGATTATTTTTGCTATATTTTGGACCTATAGTTTTACAACCTGCATTGAAAAACGATAAATATCATACAATTAGTTTAGATATTAGGATTTTATGCAATCCAGAAATATGTATTAAGAAAAATGGTATGGCAAAAAAGTTTCTCACCAAATTTGTAAATGGATGTTCAATACCATATGAAGCTTTCCAGATGGCTCACAACACTATTATTTGATACATCTTCCGGGTGATGTAATGGGATTTAATTGCAGAGCTTAGATGGTGTGTTTAGGTAGCTTTCCTGTTGATGCTACTGCAAGTAAATATATTCAAGATAAGCTGCAGAACCTGCCAAAATCTCTCCTCCAACAGATCAATATAATGGTCAAAGAGGAGATGCTTGAAACCAGGCTCGCTAATTAACTGAGTTATTCAGTATGCAGAATGGAAAAACTGGATAGAGAAAAATACAATTTGAATATTTTATTATTTCTAATGACACACCAGACAATTTTTATATGAGCACAGATTATTCACTATTATTGGTTAAACATAAGTATTCATGATTTGATTATGTTTCAAATTAGAATGGTTTGGTAATTATGGATTACAGGCCATTATTTGTGAGATTATGCGATTCTAGGATTTTTTTATATATATTAATATGATTTATAAATTGCAGTAGAGGTCATGACATTGTAATATTTGCACAAAATATTAAACAAATAAAAAATAAATTTGCCATATATTATTAAAAATTTTGTTATAATTCATTCTAGTAATTGATATTGTATGTACAATAAATACATTTTGTTCTGTTTATTTTCTTTTGATACTGCACCTAATTTTTCAGTTGAATTGATGACAACATCAACAAATGAATCGAGCAACACATTTTTGGAAGATGCCCTGAGATCAAAAGCATTCCAATGTTTGATTTATTAAATTCATACTCTGTGTATAAATAAGTATTTGGTAGCTCTAAACATGTTCTATATAATATTTACTTTTGAATGTACAATATTATAACATTGTAATGTACATATTACAATATTATAATAATGTTATTTTTAATATCGCAATTTTCTTCCAAAAACCTTACTCGGCGCGACATTGCTTGTAATTAATTTACAAATATTAAAACAAAATAGTTTTGTTCTTACAAATGTGATATGCAATGCAATTTACGTGAATATGTATATTTTGTCGCATATAAGGATATCTTAAGATTTGTTTCAAATATTGTCACATGTTTATATTCATGTTTAATGGGTAAACATATTTTATAACAAGTATATTATATGTTTGAATATGTAATCTTTGTTCTTAAAAAAATTATACTGATGATGATGAGACAAATTGATATAGAATGTTACAATGTAAGCTTCGTACAGGTCATAAATATGTGGCAAGAACTGCAGAATAGATTTTCTATTCATATATATTTTTAATTGATCTACATAAATGCCTGCAAAACATGATGATGATATACATTTTGCAATCTAGCATTTGGTGATATATGGTTATGATTATTTTTTATTTATACAGTACTTGCCATATAAATTTGCTTATAAATCTTTGACCATTTGTACGAATCAAAAGTTTGAACTTAGCTTGCAATATTTTTAACTTTTATTAATTATTTTGGGCATTTTACCACTTATAGATATTTGGTACCTTATTCATTTAAATACTTTAAGTTATATTAATTTATATATACAAAAATATGCAGGTCACGACTTTTTCTTATGTATCGAAAACAATTCTTAAATCACTCATTCTTCTTGAATGCTTTCTCCAAATATCACAACTGACATGAACAATCAGCTATCAAAATTCATCAAATATATTATTTTACTAGCTGCTAACTACTTTTATGAATATAATATTTGTGATCCCTAAGTTTTCGATATAATGAAATATACTTCCCAGCTGTAGTTGTTCTAGGAACAATGTATTTTTCACAAAACCCTGTGTCATCACAAGCGGCTTCACTAATGCTACCAAACTTTAATGCCTTTAAAAAAGCAAGAACAAATGTATAGCAGTTATATGTTGTTTCGTTATATAAACTTGCATTCCATTGTGAATGTTTTTTGCAAATTTCTAATAAAGTTTGATCCCAATGTTGTGACCAAGCTTCTGGGGCACTGTCTACCAATAAACACTGATCCCACTGAGTTGACCAATGCCTCCGTAAACCCAATCGATCAAACTCCACTATAACACCACTAGAGGTGGTCACTCCAATATGTAGGTCACTTGAGTTATAGTAATCACTGAAATAATACATAAACGGTTAAATTTTATAACAATTATATTAAATTTTGACAAAAGATATAAAAAATATGTGCCACTGTATTGTCTCAATTAAAATCAGTTAAGAGCAAAACAAAAAAAACATTTTTTCTACATCTGCATTACCTTACAATACTCAGTAAATTTAATTTATCAATACTTTTATAAATGTAAAAGTGGATTTAATAATCTAAATCAATAATAATATAACTTACTTTAAAAAATCTCCTACAGTTGGTTTTATAATAATTGAACACGGATATTGTAAAGCCTTTACAAATGGGTAAGGTAATCTGTAAGAAAGTTTGACAAAAGTTAAACGCTTTATTTATTTCAATTTGAAATTACTTTTAACATACCTGAAAGGAACAAAAGCAAATTCAGCCTTTGTTAAATCTGAATTACAAGCTGGACAGTTTTTAGGCAATTTTAAGCAAAATATTTTTGGACCACAATGCTGGAAACAACAAATTCCAGGATCTGAAGCCATGAAATCTGAAATCATTTTAGGTCATTTATATTTGTTCAAAAGTTAATGAACATACATAATACAATATCTTATGCTAGAAAGTTTTTCTGATAAAATTACCTCATAAAAAAGAAATCAGACTTGAAAATTACATCAAGAAACTTACATAGCTTGGTAGTCTTTTTTTTATTGCTTAAGCAATAAAATTATATATTATAAACATTGTTCAATGATAGTTTGTTAAAATCAAGAATAATAAGCACATTAATAACAGAATATTTGTTTACAATAAAAAGAAATTGTTGTTTGACATTTTAGTCTGTATATTGACAGCTGTCAAATTAACACCAACTACAGTAGCTAAATTGATTTAGTACCTACGATGATTTTACCTTTACCATCATTGAATCGTTTTATTTGAATGAGAAAGGTTGAGACAATTACTAATAATATGTGAAAATATTCGTTAAGTAGGCGTAAGTGGCATTTGCATTGCTGCAAATAAAGCGAAAACCGTAAATATTATTAATATATTGTCAGGGGCGAAAACTATAATTTCGAAATAAATAGTTGAAAATTTTACCTAAATAGTTATGTCTCAATTCTTATTCATGAACTCGATTCTTAACATATATCAGAAAGTTCATGCAACTTCCCTTAATGCAAAATGGCACTAAATACAACTAGATTAATTAACTTCCCGTAGGGAAAGTATATACTTTCCGTAACTTTACTTAACGTAAAGATATATACAAAATTTCCTTTTTGTTAACTTGCGATTACTATATAGTAATCGCAAGTTAACAAAAAGGAAATTTTGTATATATCTTTACGTTTCAGAGGTTTCTGACCATTTTGGCATACCGTACAATTAAAAAAAATTGATGTATATGTGTGCGCGCGCGTGTTTGTTTGTGTGTTCGGATACAAATTTTCGATGTAAATGATTCAGAAAACATTCGATTCCTATTAATAAGGAGACGTGCTGATTAGTTTTTGGCCAAAAATAATACGGGGCCATAAGTGCCAAAAATGGTAATTCAGTTTTTGGGAGAACGCAGCGTCCTATTTGTATAATTCAGAAAACATATATTTTACTTGTATTGACAAAATGAACAACTGGTTAAATTTTTGGGCAAGCAGGTCTAGAGGTTTTGGAGATTCAATGATAAAAGTAAAAAATTATACCATTTGGCGGTCAAAATTTTAATGGTGATTATATATGTGTACATCAAATTATCAGATATTTTATAAATATTTTAATGATGAGCACAAATTTTGTTTACAATTCTATGGGTTTCTTACCAATGTTTATCCCACTCAATGTTTATACTCTTCTTTTATCTATGGTTTATCCGTTAGACTGCGACGAGGCGCTTACGTGCTCCGATATTTCTTTTCTAACACGGTCACGCAGCACGATTGCTTCAAAAAAATGAAAATTTTCACAAAATTTCAATATATAAAAAAATTTAATTCTCTCAAAAAATTCTATTTTTTTCGAAATTCTCAAATCGCAAAAAATTTAAGCCGTTTTAAAAATTTTAACTTTCGGTACAAAAACGTACGCAAAGTTCCAGCAATTTGCCTTGAGGTACGATGACGTGCACCACTAATTTTTACTTATTTTATTTGAATCCGGCAAATAAATAGAAATGTAGTACGTGCGCTCTAAAACCAAAATATCAAACGTATAATATGACTCCGGACTTACAATGCTGTTCAGTGTCTATTAAAGCGGACACTAAATATCTAATCTAATTTTTTTTTCACACTTAGGACATTAGTAAATGTTTTCACTTTTTATTATCTGGATCTTGAATGGATGGCAACCTATTAGTTGTCCAAGTATTTGCTCACATTTTTACTGTATACATGCAACTATAACTGCGTGAGGCGATTTTCACTTGAGGCTTTATTTGAGATCTATAACCTCAACTGGAAATTTGACATCAAAGTTGCCTGATGTCGGGCTACGGCGGTAGCGGGAATCGAACCAGCGAACCCAGGATTAGTTGCTGCTAGCCCACGTTCTAAACGATATCGCCAACGCTTTGCTAAGAATTGTTTTAAAAAGTTTTAATGGATAAAGCGGTTTAAGCTTTTCACACATTAGAGAAGTCTTGATTAAAATTGAGTGAAAAACGTTCATGAAATATACAATAATCGATATTGAAAAAATCATTATGAAAAAGGGATTTGAAAATACGGACAATTATGCAATTATTTTATTCGATTTTCAGTCAAAATGTTTTAAAATTTCATAAAAATCGGGGCACCATTTTGTCGGAGTATTGCCACAACCCCAAAAATTATATCTTGTGATGTATGTAAATATACTCCTTACAAAACGATTATTCGGATTTGGATAAATCTTTCTGAAGTTTATTAAGAGATTTTTTTAGGATGTATGCGATTATAAAAATATAGTAATATTGTAGAAATAAATGAAAAAAATGCAGTAAAAACATATCATTGTTTGCAATTGTTAGCATATACGAAGTTTTACACTTTATGTAATACCGATTTATTAAGATTTTTATTGACATTATTTTGTTCATTACATGATTTTCGTTAAAATGTATATTTTAGGAGATATTTGCAAAAAAACGAAGAAAAACGCCAAAAATATATAAAATTTTAGTCTCCAGTAACTTGAAAAGTATTAGTTTTTTGAAAAACTATAGAAGACATTTCTTTCTTATAATTAGTTTTTTTTATCGATTTCCGACCTTATTTTGAAAAAATGTAATTACACAATTGAGAAGGGATGTCATTCCCCCGGGGGGTGATGGCGCAACCCGAATTGTTTTCACTTTTAAACTTGAGGGTAAGATGAACCTAATTACAAAATTTCATTCAATTCGAAGCACAGTAAAAAAAATCAAAGGTTATACCCTTTTTTCCTCTCCGTTTACTGCACTATAAAGATCATATTGTTCTTTTACCATAGATACTATATTTATTCTTTCTGAATTTCTTACACTGATAAAAAAACTGCAGTTTCCAATACGTATATATCTTACTTATACTAAGACCATAATTGGAAGGACATTAAATAGACTATTAAAAAGTATAGGATAGGATATTAAAAAATTTGGAGCTTAAAATACACACACATATATATAGGTATATATAAATATGTATATGTATAAGTATATGTATATCATTAAATTTTACTATCTTTCTTCTAAAATCACGGGCGTCACTAAAATCATGCCGAAATGTACAATGTACTATTTTTATTGCTTCATGCGGATTTCTTCAATACCAATTTGAATTTTAAAGTAATCCAAGTATGTGTTGGGTATATTTTATGTTGACATGTCGTCATGGTAACTTGACGAAAGGGATACTTTGGCTTTTCATCAAGAGCCTTTTCCGCCAGTTTGAAAAGTGAGCTTTGTTGAATAACGTGACGCAAGTGACGTCATTCTTTACAGTGAAAATTTGAAAACTTCGATACTTAATAGTTTACCCAAAACGTACACCTATTTATTAACGTAAGTGACGAAAAGCAAACTCTTAGTTATGCACATTCACATCTTTGTAGATAAATATGCAAAAATCACAAATATTTGAATTTATTTATTTATAAGATTAATTCGAATTTTTCGTCTTTATAAATTTGAAATTCATTGATTCAAGTTATCTCATCTGTTTTTGAATTTCTTTCAAGTGAATAGAAAAGGCAAATTTGTATTATTGCACAATCATAATTAATTAAGTCTACATTTTCGCCAGAAAATTCGAATTACTAATTTTATATTTTCTCAACGTTAGAAGTCATTCTAAATTGTTTGAAAAAGTACGTGTGTGTAGGTCAGCCGAAATTTGGCTTTTCGTCGACGTTTACGTTTATAAAAACGACTGAACCAATTTTAAAAAAGTTAACACATCCATTCGATAAAACTCAATAAGGACACGCGATGTTTAAATTTGCTAGAAAGAACTAGAAGAATTTAGAATTGGAAATATATAATGCATAATTTTTCGTCCACGTTTCCGCAAAAAAATCCTTAACGGAATTTGAAAATTTAAAAACCGTTCGAAATATATTATGTTGGAATAGGGCTGATTCATAATTGACATTCTAAAATATTATAGAGCTACGAAAAGTAATATTATTATAAAAATATACAAATGTGGAATAAGGATCAGTATTTCTAGGACATATACCATGTATATTTCAGTTTCGCTGAACATGTATAAACATACACATTCATATACTTCAAAATTGTGTTGAGGTCGAGAAGTTTTAAGACCACCCCCGTCTGCATGCGATTTAGGATTTTTATTATATTTTCTAAATATATTTTTCACGTAAATCCAAAAGCTGTCTAATACGACTTTCTATTTGATCACTAATAGCATGTATATATAGCTTGCATTTAGAACAGGTAAATGTTTTCGTATCACGCATTGAAATTGATTTATAGAACTCTATATGTTTACTTTAAAAATATTTAAATATTAGGAATGTTTAATGTTGACAAAAAATTTTACGTATATACTAATACATATGTATATCTAATTATACATATTAGAAATTTTTAATATATGAATATTTTTAATATGTAGAATATTGTTAATATGTAAATTTTAACTAGATGTAAGGCAAATTGCATAAATTTCTTAACAAATCAATAATCGACATAATCAAAAAGCAAACGTATATTATTTTAAATGATTTATAAGTAGTATACTGAGTTTATGTAGGGTCTCATAATGTTAGAAACTTTTCCAAAATTATTCAATTGTGTACATTTTTTTTCAAACATACTAATTATATTTGACGAATATTTTGAATTATTTAACAAAAAACTATTGTAATTGATACTAGTACGCCTTCGTAACAAGAACGAATAAACATGCACTTAGAAATGAATATTGCCAAGACTTTCAATAGTCAGCAATTTGGGTCTTTACAAACTACAACTTACACATTTTTATAAAAAAAACTATATTTTTAATTTTGTTTATAAATCTTGTATATGATTTTTATTATAGATAGTATAATATAAGAAATTGCAGTTATCTACTACCGTAGACACCGATTCACAAACGTAGACTCCAAAAATTTGTTTCGCTACGCGGACCCCTTGAATAATGTGACGGACCCACGGGGGACCATATAAACCATTTAGAAAATAACTGGCTTAGAGCATAAATTCTATAATTATGCAAATTTTCATTAAAATCGTCAGTTATTATTTACGAAGAAATTGCCTTGCCGATCTTTAGCTAAAAACTGAACATTGCAATTAGTCCCAAGTGCTATGTTAAGAAAAGT